CCTTTCTCTCTTCATCTTCAATTAGTTCCTCCTTGTCTTCGAATTTCTTCATCTTCTTATTAGATTCATCATCACACTTCTTCTTGAGTGCCCTAACCAAACCCTCAAGCGCCACATCAGCATCTTCATCTTTCATTAGTTCCTCCGCGACTTGAGCCGGAGTCAAAACTTGTCCATCAATCAAATGCTTTATTTCCGGGTAGAGACGGTGAGTGTCATCATTATCGTGAGACAGGCCTAAGTAGTTAGACGCCAATATCTTGAATCCCTCAAAACTGCAGTGTCCCATGTTAATGTGCATATCCATACGACCTGGTCTTAGTAATGCGGGATCAAGCTTCTCTTTGTTGTTCGTCGTGAATATTATTATGCGTTCGTTTCCACAACTAGACCATAACCCATCTATGCAATTTAAAAGTCCTGATAACGTCAATGGTCTTGATCCCTATTCACATAAAACTTGTTTAGGAACCATATGTATTGGTTACATAAAATAATAAATGATATAAAACAAAACCATTGTCAAGACCAAACCTCGAGACCACCAAGGGGTGTGGACCTTGTAGGCAAATCAACGGAGCAGTCTATATCTTCTACAACAAGAATGGAGCTGTTTTTAGTGGAGAGAAGCAACCTCCTTAGAGCCGCGTCCCCCTTCACGCTTGCGAGCTGGAGATCATAGATATCAAATTTGAGGTAGTTAGCCATAGCTGCCACAAGACTAGACTTCCCGGTCCCTGGTGGCCCGTACAACAAGTAACCCCTCTTCCAAGCTTTTCCAACTCTATTGTAGAAATCTTTCCTTTTGATGAACCGATCAAGATCTCCCATCACAGAACGCTTGAGCTCATCATCCATAGCCATCGTTTCAAATGTCGAAGGGTGCTCGAAGTTCACGGACTCCCATCTGTAATGACTTTCAGAGTAGGAGTGCATCTTGAGAATTCTCTTCTCGTTCTTGATCAGTTTTGCCTCCTTCTCCACATAAGGTACATAAGAGTTCAAGACCAAGTCTCTGTGTTTCTTGTCGAAGCTCATCTCGAAGCATTCCCAGTTGAAGTTTCCTTGATCTTGTCCTCCATCTTCAACCGGCATTTGTTTGCTACCTTCTAAATATCGCCACTTGATCTCAATGCCTTGGTATATATCGGAGACAACCTCTCCTTGGCTTAGATATAAGCTGACGTCCTTAGTGTTAGGGTCTCTAGTAATCCTTAGCTTTGATGCATCAGGGCTTATCTTGCTTGAGAGATAAGCCTGAGCCGCGGAATAGAGCTCGTTTTGCATCATAAAACCCTCTCTCTCAGTCCCGTCTCTCTCATTGATGATGAGCGTAAGAGTCGATGAACGAGAGCCGACTAAAGATCTTATATAAGAGACGACGAAGTTTTGTACCCATTCTGGAATTATCGTGTGAACTATTTGTTGGAGCATCATGAAGGTTCCCATCATTGATGCATAGGTAGAGAAAATTGATGCAGGAGAAGGGAGATCTCTAGAGAACACCATCGTTTTGGACTCTAGGGTTAGGTCGATCTTTCTTCGATGTTGTTGCTAAATTTTGTTTATATAGATATTGGGATATGTATATTTTTTTGGGGCAATTACAAAAATACCACTTTTGTGTGCACATTTGCAAAAATGTCACTTAGGGGTATCCATTTATAAAAATGTCACTAATTATAGATTTATAAAGCATATATCTTAAAATTCTAAACCCTAAAAAATGTTTTGACACCTAAAACCCCTAAACACTCAAAACTAAACTC